TCTCCCACCAGCCTCGGGAACTCATAAGACTTAGGGTATATCAGAATTGTCATTATTTGCTATGCTATCTTTTTTCCCCTGGACTCTGCAGTCTTTGAAATCATTTGCAAAAAGAACTTCAGACAACTTAAGCTTTTATGCCAATGAAAGGGTAAAAGAGAAGCCTTTGCTCCTTGCCTTTGGGTAAGCCAAGCCCTCCCTCTCCTCTGACATCCCTGAGTGCCCAGCAGAGGATAGCTTGCATTGAACTCTCTCTCTCTAACAAAAGCCTCACTGTAGGGGATCTTGCTGACAGTGAAGTAAGCATTGAGGTTACCTGTTTCTTCAGATCTGAAGTAAATGTCCAGGGGCACTGATGCCCCAGTGGGGAGAAGGGGGGGAGTAGACATCAGCCATGACCAGTAGTTGTCTGCAGCCCACCCCCCGAGACTGCCTCCAGAGAAGAGGAAGCACCCTGGGTGGGTGTGCTAAATCATGATGAAGGTGGCTGCCAAGGCTCCTTTTGCGGCCATTACATATGTGATAAAAATATACTTCCTACCACGACAACATGGACAAATTCTCACTTCTTTTTCCTGGTCCTATTTTAGAAAGGCAGAGGTGATATAAAATGCTCCTTGACGTAGACATAATCAATTATACATGCTTCTAGAAACTCATTTTAATAATTCCTTTCTTTGAATCTTTATATCCACTTCTAAGAATACAGGGATATTTATGCAAGGCCAATAAAGATAATTATTTTCAGAAGACCAGGTTCAACTTGGCACTTCCCCGAGAGAAAGAGAATAGATGAGCTATATAAAGAGGAACAGCCACCTGTACCTACAGAAGATACCTTTGCTGCCCCCTTTTGCATCTTCTTGGCCCACCTCTGATCTTAACATATTGCTCTCTGCTAGCCTCTCACATCTTCCTCTGCCTAGAGGACTTCTGTGAAGGAACAGAAGTCCATTCAACTAGAAGTACAACCTTCTTAAGAAATGTAGGGAATTAATGACCCTAGGGGTAATTCTCCATCAAGGGAGGTAGGTTAAGTGGTGAATACCTGTGCCATCCACCCTTCCTCAGGTGAACTAGTCTGCCATTAATTAAGCCCTGGCAGCTGCCTCAGAATCTTATCCTGACTTTGGCCTTCCCTCCTCTCCTGTCTTGTTCTCCCAGATTCTTCATCCATGCTACCTGGGACCACCAACCAGGCCTAGAAGTACCTGTCTTAAATTCTTTCAGTAGAATCCAAACTTCGATAATACCTATAAACAAAACAACTTGTCATAGATTCTTAATCAGTCAAATGGATAAAAAAGTCAAATCCATTATTTGCCATGATAGTGGCTTAATTTTTCAGCAATCACTTGACAGCACTTGAAAACTGACAATAGGGGTGGTTATACTTGAAACAACTGGTCTAGGGTAACAAAGGATTACATGAAATCTCATAGCATAACCTACATACATGAAACTTCTCTGGTTCCTTTTAACTCTTACTTAGCAGAGGTCTTTCTTCTAGGCAAAATGTCTTCCAGAATGATAGTCAGACGATAATACAATAATACAATAATACAATCATGTAACCTGAACTAATTAATTTCCATGTCCTAGACTATGGAGGTATTTGTTATCCAACTTTGCCATAATCAGACTTTTGTCATATGCTGCTGTTATGCTTTGGGGCTCTGATTTAGCTCAGCCTGTCTGATAACCTATAATAATAAACCAGTTAAATGCAGTTCAACTGTACATTGAAAATTATTTCTCATCTGGGGGTCTCCCTGGGTGGTGCAAGGAGTTAAGACACAGTCTATGACACTATCCACAGCATGAGTTCTATCCCGGGCCACCCAGAGAGCAACCCCACATAGCACAGCAGACCTCTCCTGTCACGCCCGCTGCTCCCCTCAGCAGTGTATTTCAGTCAGTCTGCCTGTTCTGTTCCCCACTCTGTCTCTTGGTGAATCTTCTCACCCCCCACACCTCTAGCCTATACCCAGTTCTTGTATGCATAAATAATCTTAAAAAAAGTATTTCTCATCTGGTCTGTATGGTACAGAAACATTGTGATTATCTTAATTTATTTATCTTATTTTAAGTCAAAATAAGTTAAAAATAAAATGGATTCAAAATGTGTCACTAAGGCCTCTATTTTTTCTAAGCTTGATTCTCTCCTCTGGGACCACCTATGAATGACATTCTATAATATCTAACATGGCAAATTTTAATAATTTCATTTATTTATCTTGTGTAATTAGATGCATGTTGAGGAATAACATGTTTCATGTGGAATGATGTTCAGTAATTATATATTGAATAAGTTAATCCGTCATTCAATAAACTAAAGTTAAATTGGAGAGTCCACTTAAGACTAGCAACATTCCAACAAAATTCTGAACAGCAGAAAAGAATCAAAATTGTCATAGTTTGTGTATTTCTACTTTTCAGAGTAGAAGGTAATGACTCCAGAACTGGTGATGTTTCTCCATTAAAGTCCCATTTCCTTCTGTCCAGGGCTGCAAGTGTGTGTTCTCATCAAGTCAGAGGCAGCTTCCAGGCTGCTGAGTGATCCTGCCCCTTGGCCTTTGGAGCCTGTCTGTCTGGGACCACGAGCTAAGTTAAATGAAGACAACTGGCGATCTAGTTCACTACCAGCAGGAACAGCTTTGTCATGTCAAAATTGTTCCTCTGCTTATGTCTCCTGAAAATTTATTTCCTTAAGGTTCTGCCAGTCTGGCCAAATTTGCTGAGCTGAGAAATGTTTGGAGATGATCGGAAGGAATGTTTCAACTCTGCCATTGTTGAATTTTCTCTCCATTTAGAGCATCAAGTGGTGTACCCCAAAGTGCAATGTGTTCACGAGTTACTTATAGCCATTGTGCAAAGTCCCCTCTTGTAATCAAGCTACCCAATCCCAAGAAGGCATGCAAGGGCCAAATGACTCACAGATCATGATGTTTCCCTTCCCCACTGTTATTTCTTACTAGCCATATCTCAGACCTGAAAGAACTGTGTGTGGCAAAGTGTAACAAAGGGTTATGTGAAATTCCTTAACATAAAGATTGCATTCATTAAGCTTTCCTAGCTCCTTTTGATGCTTAGCCAACATTGAACTTTCTTATAAACTCCTATAAATTAATTTTGTTCGTATAATATCCCATCAGGAGACCCAGACTGACAAAAATTTAGGCATTTGCCCAAAGTGCTATAGTTAGAAGTAAAGATGAAGTAATGATTAAAGAGTCCAATTTTGAATATTCTATAGTAATGTCAATACTGCCTAAAAAACCTATTGGTAAAACAAAACTAAACTTATTTCTTACTGCTGCAAGAAATTATTCCCTGGACAGAGCTAAAGTAATGCCTCAAGGTGGAAGGTCAGAACTGGGATGTATAAGAGGTTTGTGGTTCTGATTTAAGGTGAGTCTTTTGATTTTTTGGGTAAAGATTATGACATAATACTGTAGGATTGGAGGTTATAACAAAGTAAGAATTTTGAGGCAGGTGTTTGTTTCAAAGAGTTTTAGAGAGTAAATAATCATTTCAAGCTACCTATTAAACATTTTTCAAGCTACCTTTTAAACAGTCGAACAGTTTTAAATATGTCTTTGGGAAGTTTCTGAAGTGAGGTGTCATACCTTGAAACTTTTCACTTCTTACACAGAAGTCTCTGGAGTAGTAAAATTGTGCTGGAGAAGACATCTTATTTGGAAAGTATGGCCTCAAAGGCTTAAAGACTGTATGGAGATGGAAGTTTCCCAGATTGAAGCACCCCTAAATGAAAATCAGTCACTTGTGATTAAAATCTATTTGAAAGCTCCCAAATTCACATCTACTACTCTGTCTAAGCTACCTACAATGATTGAAGATTATTCAAAGGAGAAAAAGATCTCCTACACCCAGATCTTGGGAAGCTGTAGTAGGCACTAAGAGAAAAGGAAGAATCCAGTATATTTACTGGGGATTCTCGGACACAGGAACTGTGTCTACCATATAAAATGTGCTCAAAGATTTGTTGAGTTAATAGTGAATAAGCAGCAATATGTTAATAAAAAAGTTGTAATATCTAGAGAACACTTACTCTACTGGATATCAAGCTAAACACAAAAGGATTATTATACTTTCAGCACCATTTATCTCAAGAGATGGGTGCTACTTAATTCTATTTTCCAGAGGACAAAGTTAAGTTGAAGACAAAGTGAAAATAGCCAAAGTCCAAAAAAAAAAAAAAAAAAGAAGCAGAGCCAGAACCTAAGTTTGCCTGACTTCAGAGCTGAGAATGCTGAGCCCAACAACTTATTTGCATGCTATGAAAAGGAGAGAGCCAAAGAATATTAGATTATGAGTTGGGGAGAAGAAAATTATAGAGTTAAGAAACCTTGACTCTAGGATTTCTGCTTGGAATATATGTCGATTCTCAGCCTCCTTTCGATCATGGCATATTTATTTTGATTCTGTTTTCTAAGTCTCCTTTGTATTTTGTATGCACTTTGATTGTTATAACAAACATCACAGTGTGAAATAACTCCCTGTTTTATGGGGTCCCTTCTCCTGGGCCACAAACTCTTTGAGAGAAAGAATCTTATCTTTGTATCTCTGGGTACAGCACAATGATGATACAGATTTGACACTCAACAAATGTATCTGTTGACTAAATAACATATGAATCTTTTAGATTAAATAGAAATAAACAGTACTCATTGGGACTTAAAAGAGTCCAATAAATAATAACATTCTTCTCCACCCATGTTCTGAAAATATTGAGAAATAGGGGAAAAAAAAAACAGATAGGAACCAAAATATCCCTATAGTTGAGAAAGCCAACTTTAGAGAATGTAACTTATACCTGCTTGTGAATGGGTTTCTTTATATTAAACTCTAAAGGTAGCAGACATTATGTAGTTATAGATAATTCTGTACAACTTAGGCTTCTGCTTATAGGAACAGCGAGCATTGAACTCATGTCCTCTGCAAGTTGATGGGTTCCCCAAAAGAACAAGGAGAGCAATCTGCAGCCAATTAAGCCAACCATGCTTTTTGCCCCATGGGGCTCAGGGTGCAGTGGCTGCAAACAGCAGTATCCTTGGCTACGTATCAGTCTGCTCGTATGGGTTGCCCTAATGAACCTTAAAGACAGCTGTTTCCAGTGAACATTCATGCCTGACCTCATGTCGTCCTCACTCTTAGGCTGTAGACAGGTAAGTGGGTGCCTTTGGAAAGTCCCAAGGCACAGTGGCCAGGGTCCACATTGATCCAGTCATCGTGTCATCATGTCTATCCACATCAAGCTTCAGAACAAGGAACACAGGATTGAGATCCTACACAAGGTCAAGTTCAAGTTCCCTGGCCATCAGAATATCCATATGTCCATGCAGTGGTACTTCCAAAGTTTAATATAAATGAATTTGATGACACAGTGTCTGAAAAGCACATCATCTCTGATGTGGTCAAATACTTCTGTCATTGTGGTGCCCAAGACAAATGGCAGCCCCTAAGCTCATAGGCCTCAGAACTGCCCCTCCTTAGTTATGCCAGCCAATACATCCTACTTCCTATTCATCTTTTAAAATTAAAAGAAAGAGAGAGAGAGAAGGGGATTGAATTGTTTAAATATACTATCAGATTAAATTGCTCTTCCAGCTGCCAGTGAGAGGAAGGAGAGCTGCACCAGTGACGTTCTTGCCACATGAATGGTGTCTCCCAGCTGGAAGAAAAGTTAGTAAGAACTGAGGGTGTTCTGAGACTACATGGAAGTGTGCAGCTTCCCTGATCCATGATGAGAAAACCAAGGAGTGGGGTTCATTTCTAAAAGAAAGGAAAGAAATGAAGGAAAGCAAGAAGGAAGAAGTGAAGGAACTAGGGAAGAAGACAGGGAGGGAGGGAGAGAGAAAGAATTAGCTATTGAAGTCCTAAACATTTGAAATAGAATGACAATACAGAAAGCCTGAAGTGATTAGGATGGCTTCTTTCATTGATAGAAGGTCTATTTATTTTCCCCATAAAACAAAGGATAAGCTAGTGTGGATTCCTGCAGTTTCTGACACTACGGAGACTGACAGTGAAGTGTTCCTCTTTCAGATTTTATGTAAAATACACAGAGGTTGCCAAATCTGCTCCCTGAAGACTATATATTCTCCCAAGGTTAAAATGGTTTATTACTCATCCTTATGCTAGGTGCTGAAGGATGCAGGAGCCATACACTCTAGCTGGTATTTACAAGGCCAACCTTCTTGGTGGGCAAATGACCACGGACTAGCCCCGAGCTGGTATTTTCTCATGGGGGATACTGTACAAAGAATGTGGGCAACTTGGAAGATAATCCCCCCATGTTTTCACAGCAGTGGCTTCAGTTTGGGAAAAGCACTGATACCATTTACTGGCATTTCAGCAAATAAATGAGTGAAGAAGGAAAAAGCATTTTATTTTTAAGTTAGAAAATCCTAAAACGAGCATCACCGGGAGACTAAGAATTCAACTGTTTCCCTTACTGGAAACCATCTCTTAAATAATGCAAAGAGAAAGCTGCATGTACATCCTCACAGAGTGATTGTTATGAAAAAGAAAGCAGGCCGACCGGATCCCGGAAAATCCCAATGCTGCTCCAGGAAGCACCCAGACCATTGAACTCCATCTGGGTGGAGGCTGAGCAAGTAAGAGGGGCCAGTGCTCAGGCCTGGAAGTCAAAGTATCAACTAAAGCATCCTTATTGTCTTGAGGTGTGAGGGATGCGTGAGCTTAAGGCCACAATTTGAACACACCAGCCTTTGTTCAAAGGCTACTTTTACTGGCATTTCAGCAAAGAGACTTTGCTCAGAGACTGGACATAACATTTCATCGGAGGGATGCTAAGAAATCATCATAGAGAGGGGGAAATGAATTTGGAGTTGGAAAACTCAATATCTAAGTTCTAAAATTCCACTGTTGGACAATGAGAAGATCTTTTAACCTCTTTGGGTCTCAGTGTACACATTCATAAAATTGAAATTCCATAGGTGTTCTTGGCATTTAGGTTTGTTGAAATGAACAAGTGAGATAAGTCCATGACTGTACTTTGCAGAATGGGAGGTGATAAAGATGGCCTGTTGTGCTCAGGGAAGGATAATAAAAGCCACTGCCTAGAAAACCATTTGGAAACTGATCTGCAGTCATGATTCTTCCTTTGACCAGAGAGGTATTTGCTGTGATTTTGATCTTCCTCACATTCCCTTCTTTGGGCTTTGTGGCTGTCTTTGCATTCCTAGGCCCCTTCTTTCAGGATCTACTGTCCCTCCAGTTGCCCCTAGGGGTTTGCCTTTGATGAACTCATATTAGTTAAGTAGTTTTTATTCTTAAGCTACTCAAGAGACAAGGCACAATGTAGACATTGCAAGCGTTCTGTTCTCAAAGTGTGACCCCTGGACCAGCAGAGCCAACACTTCCAAGAAACTTACAAGAAATGAAAATTCTCAGGGCCCTTTCCTGATTCCTGAAGAATCAAAAACCCTGGGGTCAGCACCGGATATTTTAACAAGTCTTCCAAGGGATTTTGTGAACCCTCAAATCTGACCACTAATCTAATGCAACCTTCTTAGATAAGAGATTTTGTCCCTTTTGGCATCAGCCAGATAAGCATAATTAGCATTGTATAGGTAAGGAAATTGAGTTTGAGAGGTTAAGCAACTTGCCTGAGGTCACTCTGCTTATAAATAGCAAGGCTGAGAATCAAATGCAAACTCTTCTGGCCACAGAGCCTGGCTCTAGTCCGTGCTGCCTCCCATAACACCATAATGATCATGACTAAAAATGGCATCTTATTCCTCAGAGATGATAGTTGTATTCCAGCAGCCACATGGTAGAAGGGCTAGAGCAGAGGGTGTGGAATCACTAGGACAAACATTCAAACCCTGTCCGTGCATTTCCCAACACTGCAATAATTAAGAATTTGTTCAACATCTAAACCCTGTAAAGTCAAGCTTTAATTTGACTTTGCCTTAACCAATTTTCTAACTACAAAGGTTCCAGATAATTCTCTTGTCATTCATGGCATGCATACCTTGGAGGCATGGACAGTATCTTACCTCTACTCCTGCAAGACAGTTTTTGTATTTTGAATCTCATGAGAGGCACTAAATTTCTATCATCCCAAATGGGACATAATTAGCTATAATAGATGTGCTATCCATTTATCCATTATTCCCCACATCCAGTTATGAACAAATAAACTCAGGCTCCTTAATGATCCAGCTCAATTGGGCAACAAAATCTCTTATCTAAGACAGGAAGGAATAGAATGAACACTATTATGTTTAGAAACTGAAAAAGAAAATAACTCAAGTATTAGCTGACCAAACAATTATTGAGTTTGAAGTACACAGAAACCAGGATGTCATCTGACTTTGTATTTCCCAGCTGGTCAGAACTGTGACATTTGACCCTTGACTAGAATTGATGTACTCAAGGACTTAGAGTTGTCATCTTAGGAGAATAATCAGGGAGCTATTTTTCTTAGTTCATGCCTAAATGGAAGAAAAATACCATTCTTATTCAGTGAACCTCAGTTTCTGCATCTGTCAAATAGGCATAAGGTGAAATGATGTTTCTAAAATTGTACTGGGAGTAGTAACTTTTATAAATTTAACTTTATTGCTGTTCTTATTCATTTTTATTGACTACCCAGAGAACTGTGTTGAAAAGGATTCTGAAAAGCTCAGTGCCACAACTGGTTAATAATGACTGGCATGGACATGAAAGGGACTGGCTTTAAGGTAAAATCTAAAGTCCTTAACAATGCTAAAAATGAAAATATGCATGATTTGGCTATTAGGTAGACTTCTCCAGTCTCTTCTCATCTCTTAATCACTGAGGACAAACTATGGTGGTGGAGCAAGGGTCCAGAATGAGCTATAGCTTTTGAAGAAGTCCTTATGTTACATGATGGAGGCTAGGACTAGAAAATTTGGAAAGGAGGTAACACAAGGCCAGAAACTGGCTCACACAAGGCCAGAAGCTAGAGGTGGGTGAAGAAATGGCAAACATAGAGGCCTCCTTGGTGGCACAGGGACTAAAGTCGCAGCGTTATCAGGCTATCTCCAACCACTGTGGCATGAGTTTTGTCCCCAGACAGGGAGGTGACCCACAGGGTGCAGCAGATCTCTCCTGTCTCGTCAGCTGCTCCCCTCAGCAATGTATTTTAGTAGATCTGCCTGTTCTGCTCCCCACTCTGTCCCTGGTGAATCCTCTCACCCCCACACCTCTGGCCTATACCCCAATTCCTGTATGCATAAATAAATAAATCTTTAAAGAAAGTGATAATCATAATCATTAAATAAGCTGTAAAAAGTAAAGTATCCAGAAGTGTAGGGGAGGTGGGGATATGCATATTGAGGGCCATTGTAAAGAATCACTAGTCCTTTCAAATGTACCTAGTCAGATCAAATATATATATCTATATATACAAATCCTTAGGTGCCAACCCTAGACATAATTAATTAATTAATTAATTTTTGTTTGTTTTTAAAGATTTATTTATTTATTCATACACGACTGGGGTACAGGCCAGAGGTGTGGGGAGGTGAGAGGATTCACCAGAGAGTGTGGAGCAGAACAGGCAGACTGGCTGAAATACACTGCTGAGGGGAGCAGCGGGCAAGACAGGATAGGTCTGCTGTGCCATGTGGGTAGCACCCTGGTGGGCCAGGGATAGAATTCGTGCTGCAGAGGCTGCAGATTGCTTCATAGTGCTTTGCTTAACCCCTTGCACCACCAGGGAGGCTCTAGACATAGTTAATATAATAACAGTTAACAATCCCACAAAGGTACAAACCCCTCCCAAAGAGAAGACTGTATTAGTGCACACTCTGCAAATGGTAAAAGGCAGGAGCTCTCCTGCCTCCCTGTGACTGTGCAGATGTTTCTCTTTGCCAGCCTTCTCTATTTGCAAAGCAGCAGAGGCAGCGCTTCTCCCAAGGCTGCCCACCTGTGACAATGCAGGCCTCTTTTTTAACAAATCTGTCCCTTTTGGGGGCAGCTCTTTTTGCCCCCTTGTGTCTGTGCAAGCATCCTTGACTTCCTGTCCCTTTTTATAACAGACCTGCTCTTTTGAATGATACTAAACATCTCTGCCTGGAAGGAGAGGAGGAAACTCACTAGGGGAAACTTTC